AAGACAGTGAAAAGACATTCCACAAAACACTTACGGTACTGCTCACCGTATCCCCTAGCTGACGGGGGCAGAACGGTGGGCAGATCAAGTACTGACATTCTGATGAAAGGTTCTTATAAAGCCCAAACAGCAATGGCTACAGCTAAAATTTCAAGAACAGTCTGAAAGAACATACTGTAAATGCTAAAAAGTTAAATAGAGGCAAGGATTGTATTCTCCCCCAAACTAGACTACGCAAGTACCTTGTTCACTGAAACTTTAACTGCCTTGACATGACTGCACAGTCTTGAGAAGTCAGAACTCCTCACAAAATAATCTTGTCGTAGAAGCCCAAAGAACATTATCACCAGAAACACTAAAATAAGGTGTATGGAATTTCTTAGATCCAAACTTCTAACACACAACTTTGAGATTCTGTGCTGGACTGGATATGAGATTATATATCTGTTAGGTAACAGAAAAGAGTTTTAAAACTTTCGTATGAGCCATTACATCTCTTACTGATATGCAGGTATCACTGTCACATAAAATGCTGTACTTTATTTGGCATAACAGCATCAAAACTGCAGAGCATACTTAGCACCAGGAATTATACCAGACCAAAATGAGACTGCAAAAACATACCTAGGATTATTTTTTACTTGGCAGAGAGTGTTGATCAGGCAGCAGATATACTCCAGCACTACTCTAGGACTTCCTGAGCTAATAAAAAGCAGCTTTCCACAATGCTTAAACAACAAGAAATCCAGGCCACCAGTTACAGAGTGCAGGTCCAGAACAAAAAAGCACCCGGGGGGAAAAAAAAAAAAAAGGCATTTTCAAGAGGAATTTGGTCACTGCTTAGGTTCTCAGACTGACATCTGCAACTAGCCAGAACAAGCAGAGAGCTGGGGGTGAATATAGCTCATTTCACCTGGTTTCAGATTCTCATAACAATCACTTAACTCAGTATGACGGTTAAAGTGAGATTTCCTAACACCAGAGGCTTATTTTCTATTGTGGAACAGTTTGACTCTTGCTCCCATAGAGTAAAAACTCACACACTTTGCACTGTCCTTGATGGCAAAGATATTTATAAAGCATCTTCCATTATTCACTTCAACATTTGTTGGATCATGTGGGAATGTGTAGTATTTTGCAACTTACCTGTTTGCATGAATAAGTGAAGAATACATACTGCCTTTTTGTCAGGGCATCATATGGTATTTTAAATACCTGCACAGCAGAATACTTCGTTGAGAAAAGACTTACTACATAGATCAGTTTGATAATTAACAGAATCCAGAAAAACATATGCGCAGTCGAATACATTCTGATCATCAGATTCCTTGTATCCATGGGTTTATTTCTATGTGTTCCTCAGTTTGCTCCTGATCACTAATATTTATATTCTTCACAGAGCTGAGGTAACAGGGCAGGAACTTTAGTACTTAGTATTTTGCAAGGAACTACATTAGAAGTGCCAGTGAGAGTCAGAGACATGTGTTGACTGTATTGACATGTACAGTAAGACAAACCCATAAACTGAACAGCTATCTCACTAACAGTAATAGTGATACCAGAAGACAGATTTCTCTTCTACACAGTATTTGATCCAAAACTTACTGGTCCTTATGAAAGCTTTCTTTTGTGACTAACATTTCGCAGTTTGCTAGGACACTTATGAAAGACAGCACAACTAGGATTTCATCAGCCAGATAGTGCTAGCATAAGGCATTTTGTAAATAGCTTTGCTGCCTTGGAAAATCCATAAAAGTATACTTTTTGTACAAATTATGATTTAGTCTCATTAGATCCAGGTCTGAGTTTTGGGCTGTGTAGACAGTGGCCTAGAAGTGTGTTCCCCTGCAAGCTAGTCCTGGACATGCAGAGGTGAAACCAATCATGCTCATGAATTTGAGGCACTGTACTGAGGAAAAGCATATACATCTAAAATACACTGGGAAAGAGAAGGCTGTCTTTGAAGGAGGCAGTTCTCTTGTTCCTCAGTGGTAGTTCTCATCTTCAAAAGGTTACCATCAGTATGGTCCCCAAAGGAAGGAAAGCAGTAGCGGGAATGGAAACAACTCAGGGTAGTAACTTTAAGCTCTTACATCCCTACACTTCCATTTTTCTGAGTACGTACAAAAGTTGATAGGCTGACTTCTAAATGTTAGCTCTGGTTTATGCCAATGCAGTCTTCCAGAAAAACCTGCTCTTTTTTATTGTTCTATTCTGACACCTGTTCTCCTGCTGCTGGAACAAATCTATAACCACTGCTATCTGTGAAGTGCCCCTAAGTCCAAGACACCAGGAGCCTTGTCTATTCAGCTGCTGAGCCATATTTACGGAATATAAGGCAAAATCTGTAATGCTGCCAGAACTTCAAGGAAGCAAATCTTTAAAAACCATACAGCATGCTGTATTACAACCAACTAAACTAACTAGTGTTACAACCAACCATTGAACTATAGGTTTTAATAAAAATTCTAGGATCCCTATGAGCAATACTGCACTGCTTTGATAATGCTTGCGTACTTAATATATACCGCCAATATTGCTTCCAGGACATATTGACGAATATATGCAAGGCCTCCAGACTTACGGCCTGTGTACAATGATGTGATGACTTCAGAATATAGCTACCTCTGTGCTAGAACGGACAGCTGGAATACTTGAACTTCAGTAGAAGCTGAAGTTCAGAGAGGGGCAATATGACCAAGTAAAGTCACAAATTGTCAAGCCTATTTCCTCTTCCTCAACATACAGAAGTTGACTTCTATTACATTGGTAGGCTGATCTCAAAAAGGTCAAGGTGCAGCTGATCACTATTACCAGTGAAACTTTAGCAGTAAATTGAAAAGCAAACACACTATCAAGTCCCTCTAATTTGACAGCTAGGATCTTGTAGTTGATGCACAGCAAAAGATATTCTGCAGTCCTGCAAAATACACGTCCAGAAACAACGTCTTGACACAGACCTTGTGCTTAAGGTTAACAGTGACATCATAGGGATGAGTATTTTGCTATTAAAATAAAACGTTAATTATTGGGAAGAGATCAGCAAACCGTCAATCTAGGATCTCCCTGCCTCCTGCATTTTCTTTATAATCTGTACCTTGCTTTCAGTCTTCAGTATCAGAGAAGTTCAGAAGATTAACTTTGAACTTCTATATTCTAAATGAATACAGAATCATTCCTGAAAAACAATCCTTCCACAAGATCAGAGCTAACATTATATATAACTCTACAGTGATGAGATGCACCATATTCATATTCCCTTGTTCTGAAGCTGGTACCAAAGTTCACTGCATCATATCTATTTGCAGCGCACCAGAAGTTTTGGCACAAATACCAGTTGTCACACATGCTAGATGTTCCCTTGCTGGAACCTAGGCATAGTATTATGCCAGATCATGCCACGGACAGCCTCTTTGACTCTGGCAGAATAGGCTTCTTTTGCTGAATCAGGTGCAGCTCGGGACTGCTTAACCAGAACTTGCTCACCCTCACATATCCAAGTGTGAGTAGGATGAACTCACCAGTTATTTGTCAGAAACCTGCCATTCCATTCCAAATTAAGATAACATGCTGGCAGTCTACTAAGGACATAATACCAATAAGTGACCAGGGCTTAAACTAGGGTCTGTCACAAGCACATGGGCATAAGGTTTTTTATTTTGTTAAAAAGGGTAGCATTTGCATTTACTTTGTGGATGCCCAAACTGATTGCAGGTCTTTCTTGTTGAGAGCTTCCTTTTCACTTTTCATTAATTTCTCTGGCATCAGGCAATGAAGTTTCATCTTCAACGTCAGGCAAAATGGGACTAAGGGGAGGTCATAACCGCTAACCACCCATTACCTTGGGAGTGCACAATATTAAGCAAATATTTGCATTTTCTCATAAAACTTATTGCAGCAGAATCTTTCTCACTGACATACTCAAACCAGGAGCATGGCTAGTAGCATCACTGGCAAGCATCATGCTGTTCTTTTTCCATTAGCCAGACAGTGCAACTTACATTTACCTTATTTACTGGAGGTGGAGTGAAAAGACAATTCAACACAGAAAATTCAGTAGTGTAAAGGAATTACAGAAAGTAACCAGAACATATAAAGAAGGCACTTGTCCCTCAAAAGTTATTAATTTTTTATTGAATACAATTCCCAACTTTTAATTCCATATTTGACTAGTTTTTGAAAGCAGTCAAGAAACAGGTACTTGGACCTCTCTTGGCATCATCCAGTTACTCGCTATTGTAGTTAACTGAGTATTACACCTTGTTCCAGTTAATACCTCTACCTAGCACAGAATGCTTCAGTAGATTTGTAATGAGCACCTCATGCCATGCAATGCAATTTTGTGCTTTATAATCTGCACTGCCCAGTTCCCTGTTGATTTAACTCCATACCGAAACAAAAACACCTTATAGAATCTTAAGAGTCTGGGAACATACCTAAAAAGACTACAGCCTCCTCTTCCAGGAAGCTACAATAAAGCCCAGCAATTACTTTCAAATTACACTTTCAAACAAGGAAGCCGACAGCAAGACTTTACATATGAGGGCCCCATTACCGTTAAAACATGAATTGACTGCTTGGCTGAAAACCGTAAGGAATATTATTCACCTTCACAGCACGATATGATGTTCATGTTCAATTTGGGGCGTGGAAAAAAAGGACCAGGATTTGACAATGGGAGATTTTGCTTGATGGGAAGATTTATGAAGATATATTTTTACTCTTCTACTTAATTAGCTACTGTTAACTTGGGTTTTCATATTTTATTACATTTAACTACCACCACAAAGAGTACCAAAGATTTAGGATGGAATTAAGACCCATTTAATTTAATGAAAAAATATTTGATTTCAGTAATTTTTCTGAGCAGGGGAAGCTATTAATTTGCTGTAGCAGCTTAGGGACAGCATCTCATTAACTGCTGTTGTATCAGTTGAGGCTTTGAAGAGTATGATAAACTCTGCACTTCTTAGTTTAACCCATTAAAAGAAAAAGCTTACAATGTCACTGCCGGAGAGCGATGATACAGAAGAGGCAGATGAGCCAGAGGATAACTGTTGTGTACTAGCCAATGACAAAGCCAAGCGTTGGTTGTAAGATGGTTCAGAGTCTCTGTTCTGTTGCTGTTCTCCATTGCACGGAGCTATCTGGTCTCTTATTTTCAACCTATTATCTGTTAACAGAAAACATAAGTATCATTTAAGAGCACAGAATACAAACACATGGGCCTTGAGGTCTAAGAAGAGCTGCAGTTTAACAACCTAATTGAAAAGCAGGCTCAGAGTAAACTAGTCTTGGGTTAGAAAGTTACAAATTTCTTTTATTTTTTTCCTACATATCTGAAAGTGATTAATTTCAAGACATGAGTATTTTGAATTACATCAAATTCAAGAAAAAAATTTATGTTTGTTTCAAAGATCTTGCAATACCTACCAAGTTCAGGTGATAAATTAATTTTGCTCCCCCACTTCTTTTTAATCCAGGCCCTGTAGTCAATCACTTCTTGGGTCACTTTGATGATTCTACCTAATGTGCTAAAAAAATTTTTCAATTAAGTATTAAACAAAGACTATTGGTTACATATTTGCAAGCATTTCAACAAGCAATTAAATTATGCTAAAAGTCAGTTTAAGATATCCCTAACCAAAGAATCCTTTTGAACTTTCATTTCCTTAGCACACCATTTAATCCACTGAAACATCACAATTTTTACATTACTATATTACTTATCTTCTACCATACTAACATGCAAGCACTGACACATAGGTAAGATTTTTACTCTGTATTTCTAAATGGAGTGCACCTTAATTATCAAGAATGTACCTGCAGATGCCAGTGTACTTGATAAAGCAATTTACATGTTCTTGCATTTCTCCATACAGAAAATATTTTTTCCACAGAATCTGGATTACAACAGTCATGGGATGCACTGAAGACATTAATATCCCAGCCCCCCAGCTGACCTTCACACTGAAGACAGAGACCTTCACTAGTACTTGCTTACAGATTTACAAGACAACTTAAAAGGTGTAAGATCCCCACAATTATAAAGGAAGTACCATGGATCGTGAGGTAGTGGAAACAAGAAAGAGACTGGCTCCAAAACCAGAATAAGTTAGAATTTAAGAAAATTCATGACAGTAAGTGGTTCAGAGAAAGCCTACCTGGTCCTGCTAAACAGTGACTAGTTATCAACAAGTACAAAGTAATATTTTTCCAACATACCTTCCCAACATTCAGCTATTTGAATTGTACTTCTTGAGCAGGAGTTGCGTCCTTGTTTGAGAGCTAAACCTTCAAGCTTTCCTTTCACTGGGGACCAGTGGCTGAAACACTAACTATAAACTCCACGCTCAAGATACATGAAGGACTGACTACTGTACAAAAATGGGCTGTGAAAAGTTACCATCTTGGAGAAAGTAATCTTATTTCAGTTTTGAAAATCTTCAACGGTTACGATAAAACTTATTTTTGTATTTCACATCATAAAGGTATGTTGTACCTGTACTGGAATTTTCTTTTGGTTTAGGTGTGTAATGGGAAGGGAGGACATACATAGCCTAAGTGTATTTAGACCACCTTTATTAGGTCAATTCATAAATTGACCTATGATTCAATAGGAGCTCCTTTAAAGGAGCAATAATTCTCCTACTGGCTTAGGGATTACTATTTCATGCAGGACCAAGTACCACATGTTCCATATTTGGTCTTCCAACTTTAAAGACATGTCAGTGTGTTAGTACTGAAAAAGGCAGTCCGGCATTTTAACCAAACATTGAACCAAGTAATATCATCTAAGTTCAAGTCCAATAGCTGCAGAAGGGCCTCACGGACAGAATGAATGTCATCCACCATTCTATTTATGTAATGTAGATAAAACGATGCATGTTGGAAAATAAAATTTTGAATTTTACATGCGGAATTAAAGGTGTGATGGTCACCACTCAGCAGCTAAAAATCTGAGTTATAACAGGTAATTCTTTGGAAACCACAGTTCAATAGCTAAGTAGAGCACATTAAGAAAGGAACAAATAACACAGAGGATAGTATTTTGTCAATGTACACTCCCATGACATAACAGCATTTTAACTACTCGATGCAGTTCAGGTTTCTCAATCTCAAAAAGGAAGTTAAGCCAGAGGAGACAAAATGAAGACAGGGATGACCAATACTGCAGAGAATCAGCCATGGCCCTGAAGTTGCAGTTCCCAAAACAGCAATGCCAGTACGGGACTCAAACATACATATGCTGGGTCTCTTCAGAACCGGGACAGAGAAGGAAATCTTGCAGCTAAGAAGTTTCATCTGAGAATGCCTTCAGAAAGATTTGAGCTTTTACTCCAGGATAACCTATAAATTTCACAACTACTACCAGCTGTGGTCTTAGAACCAGAAAATGAACATGGACTGAATAACACAAGCTCTTATGGAGAAGGAGTTTGTCAAGTCTGAAGCTTCTTGGAGTACTTTCCCAGAAGCAAATCCATAGTCATGCCTTCATATACCAGAATGAAAATGAATGATATAGGATGGTATTTTTATCAGCCTGGGTGACTGATAGACCAAAAATGCCTGCTATCAAATAGGCATAAAGGGTGAAACTACTGCTACACCAACAATTATGGCAGAGTTGCACATACAGAACCTGGGAATCTCTTCTCTCACTAGCTCCTTTCACAGAGAATAGAGATCAAAGCCCCAAACTCTCATTTTGGTAGAAAGTTAGAAAAAAAGAAATTTGCTAAGTTATGAGGTCAGGAGTTCAAAGGCAGATCCATGCTACATTGTTCATACACCAAAATTAAAAACATTCATTATGAGACATCAGAAACTGAAAGGTGATGAAGGCTATACTGCCATATACTTAATACAGCAGCAAGGAAAGAGGAAGCAAGCATGATCAAACTAGATACTGCTCTCAAAGAACACCATTTCATATGTATGGGACTCAAGCACATCCACAGGGTCAGAGAACAATTTTTTAAAATAAACATTTAAAAACTGTGCTTATTTCTGTTTTCAACACTGAAAATGCTTAGGAACAAAAAACCCTATTAATCTGCCCCATCTTTAGTATGAGGAAATTCCATGCTTCTGCATTTCTTTTTTTGGCTGAGGCCAGAATTTCTACAGATGTATGAGACACTCCCACAATTCTTCAGAGATGCTTGTTTGGAAAACGTGGAAAAAACACAGTTAACTGGTTAAGAAAATTAGACAGCTCTCCTATGAAAGATGCCCCTTTATGATAATTATTAAAGGAAAAACCTTAAAGTAAAACCAGGAATAAGCTATTTACATACCTAGTTTATTTTATGGTAAGAGGTTAGAAGCGCCTCTTTTTACACACTGCAAGCCATCAGTTCACAGGGACACTTTCTAGCTGTCATTACAGCACAACTACGATGCAAATAAATCTTAAGATCACTCTTAAAAGGCTCAGATTGCTGACATAAGATTCAGTAAAATCAAATATCTAAAGCTCCAGCCAAGCTTCGCATGAACGAGTACCAGAGCAGGGAAAAAACACCAAGTCTGTGAAAGAACAGTTAAAATAACTGTTCAGTAGGCCTTAATTGAACTTATGAAATATCCCCCTGGTATTAGAAAGGCAATATAATCTAAAAGAAGACTAAGGAGCACCTGAGAAGGATCTGCTTGAGTATGATGATAAAAAAAAAATCTAAAGCCATTACCCAGACAAATACTCTGTTGAGGAAAAGCTGATATTGCTGATACCTCTTAAGAGACAGCATGCATTCTAGCGACAGCCACCCACCATTCAAGATGTGAAGCAAAGGAAGGACTGTTTCAGACAGCACATTTCTTTCTGTGTCAGCAGATCTAGCAGGCAAATTTAACATTCCCTTTGACAGCTCGGACTATCTTGGCCAACCAGGGGCAACCCAAACCGAACATACAGACCTGTCAGCAGTTAGATCAGTTGAACTGTACGCTAGGAAGAGACCAAGCAGCTTTCAAGCACAGATGGAAAGACCACTCTATATATGGCCCAAACTATTGTTTTTTTGAAGATCATCACCTGTAAATGACAACTCCAGACACGCAGTAACAAAACCCTGCCAAGGTTTCCTCGAACTCTGAGCTCTGGCCTGTGGGCACGACAGTCCCTTTCCCTCATCTACCTGCACGTCTGGTAACAGGTTCCTCCTTATTGGTGCCAATCTGCAACTCTAGGAAATGAAGAAAGGTTTCAAAAGTCTTAGTTATACTGAAAGGGCACATCACAGCAGAACCAGTCTTCCATTCCTCATTTCATATGACCTCGTCTGCCTCCCAAATGTGGCTACGCTGCTGCTTAGAGATGCAGTCTGAGCACACATTCACATCTGAACCATGCGACAGGTCAACACGTAAGCCAACATCCTGATCTACAGACATACATATTAACCTAAGGATGCATCTCTGTCACATCCAGATCAGCATAACTTATGATTGTCAAGTGGTACAATACCACTCTTCCCATCTTTCCCCAAACATGAATTCCTGCTGCCTCTCTTGCTTCTGATCTACCCACCACGCAGCCACAAGCCCAGATCAACTTCTTGATATGACAGAAGCATTGATGTGTTTGTTTCAGTCAGACCAGAAAGTTCATCTGACTCACCTTCTGACTGCAGGATTGCTAGATCTGATCCAAGGCAAGAGTCAGGAATATACAGACTGAGAAGGAAGAAAAAGAGCAGCTGACAGGAGATAGCCCACAGATAGTTAGGCTAGACAAGGTATAATGTGAAATTGCACCTTAATAGAGACCATAGACAGGGTAGTAACAGATAGTCCACTATTTCAAAGAACGTGAATCAATGAGCAAGAGCTTGTTGCCAAACATCTGCTAAGGTTTCCTGTGGTTTATCAAGAAACAGAATAAAGCTGGGAAAATGGTCACTAACTTAAAACTTCATGTCCAAAGAAGAGCAATGAAGCTGGTGAAGGGTCTAGAGAACAAGTCTTACAGGAGGCAGCTGAGGGAACTGGGGTTCTTTAGCCTGGAGAAAAGGAAGCTCAGGGGAGACCTTATTGCTCTCTACAACTACCTGAAAGGAGGTTGTAGCAAGGTGGGTGTCGGTCTCTTTTCCCAAGTAAGAAGTGATAGGACAAGAAGAAATGGCCTCAAGTTGCACCATGGGAGGTTTAGACTGGATATCAGGAAAAATTTCTTCACCAAAAGTGTTATTAAGCATTGGAACAGGCTGCCCAGGGAAGTGGTGGAGTCACCATCCCTGGAGATATTTAAAAGACATGTAGATGTGGTGTTTAGGGACCTGGTTTAGCGGTGGACTTGGCAGTGTTAGGTTAACGGTTGGACCTGATGATCTTAAAGGTCTTTTCCAACCTAAATGATTCTATGAAAATATCACTCCTTACAGACTTCTTTAGTTAGCTCACTTAAGATGACACACTCTTCTCTAGAGACAGGCTATGGTCAAAGACCATACTAAAGCTGTTCAAAGCACATGACACTGACCCTTAAGCAGGAGCTATCCTGTCCACAACTATATTTTACAGCTACACTCGTGTCCCCGTGGCCCCAAATATTAAGAAATCAATCATGATTTTCAACGACCTTGGCTGAAGTCACAACACCAAACCTAACCTTGCGTACAAGTTGTACAGATTCAAAAATGGATCAGCGTCCTCATTTTCCTACTAGGAAAACCCCTCCTTACAAGATGATGGGACTCTCTTTGCTTTTACAAGATCTACTGAACTGTCTATCAACCTCTCCTGAGCCATTCTTGAAAGAGGATGGGTGAGAGAGACTGGGGACAAACCAGTGTTAAGGTAATTCCTGTAGCTGTAAGAATTACCTTCAGGACTCAGCTGATTACTGTTTCCACTCAGACAGAAGATAGCTTTCAACTCCCACTACACTCCAGATGTTATATTTGGAAGCTTGAATGAAGATACTGGTAAGAGTGATTTGAATCTACCCCTTATTATTCTGTGGGACTTGTTACTACAGAACATTGACAAGAAAAAGGCCTATGCTGAAGGACCAAAATCTGACTCTCTTTTCACACTGGGAATATCAGAAGCAGCAGCTGGCTAGAAAGCCTTAAATTAACTTAGGCTTGTGCTCCTCTGAGTTGGACTGACCCTGAAAAAAAACAGTAATGATGATTATCCAGAAAGATTTGAAATCTACTGAGATTGTCATCTACAAAATAGGACTCTGTACACAGAAATTTTCCCTGGAAAGAGCCAATATAAATTCAAACCCACCAGGTAGTTCAAGAACAAACCATTCCACTTAGGAGGAAGCTAGCCCCAATTATGACAAAACTGAATAAACTCAAGTCAGCCTGGGGAGTTCAGCCTCCTGCAAGTTCCTACCCTTTCAAGTGTTCTTCATTTAGTCTCTGTTGATCCTTCTAGTAAAATGTCATATAGCTAGTCACTGCTCTTAAAGGGAGCCCATTGTTTACAGTTTAACTTACCACTAACAAGCCTAGAAAAGGTAAGAAATGGATCAGGACAAAGGGCTCCTGGATGGCTAAGGCTTTAGGTCAGACCACCAGAAAAGTCTTTATACAGAGCCTGGACCACTCTGCCTAACAGGTGGAAGAAGGATCTGAAATACACCTGGATTGCCCAGGCACATCAGGTTTAACTAAAAACTGAGACTGCACATGAACTGCTGTTGAGGTTCTGCAACAAACTTGTTACCAAACAGCTCATCATCCACCTACAGGTCCTTTGGCATTGACAAGATTGGTGCTGTGGTAACTACTTGCGTATAGGGCTTTGTTGAATGCTTTTCCTCTTGCAGCACCACTCCCTTTGACAGAATGGCAAGCCACTGGCATGACAAGTTCTGAGACTCAGGCATCACTGGCACAGACAGCCCAGAACTAGCAGAAAGACAGGTCAGATGCACAACACCTGAACACTGCTGCTGGGACTTCTCCCCAGGTTTGAAGTTGTGACAAAATTCAAACATTTTCCCCAAATACAGTAAGAAGTGTACATGTGAAGTACACATATTGATGACATCTGAGGCTTCCATTAAATGCATTTACAAATATACTCTTTGATGTCTGTAATAAATACAGGTACCTTATAAGAGAATGACTATATCCTTTGGAGAACCACAGAGAAGTTAACGAAGGCCAGGACCCAAGGCACAAGCAAAACTTCAGGAATCCCTAAGTTGTTCTATCTATACTTATATAAGAATGAAGTTTCATTCAGCAACAAGAATTGTCAGCCAGTACACATTTAATAGATACACCTTTAATCTATCTTTAAAAAGTCTCACATGTCAGTGTGTCTAAACAAGCAATTTGATCACACACATTTCTTTCTGCCATAGTACAGACACACACCATACCAAACATTAAACCAGCAGACCTTCCTTTGAAATACTTTAAGCAGAATGTTTGAGGAAAGACCAATTATCTTCTGGCTTCCTTCCACACTAAGAGAACCTCACATTGGACTCATCCTGGGTTTTCTCATGCTGTCTTCATTTCAGTGCTGCACATTGAGGTATTACACTCTCATACCACTGGGCAGCCTAAATTTCTGGGCAGATTTCAATACAGCCACAGTTAAACAATAAATAACAATATTCCTTTTATTTAGACCCAAACATTCCTAATTGATTACACAGACAAATGGATATTCAAAAAGTGGACTAATTACCTCTCAGAATCTCTATTTGGATATGATCTTGCAAGTGGTGATACTGCATGGCTAAGAACAATGTAGGCATAATCAAAAACTTGTTTCACTTGCATGGCACCGTAAGAACTTCTGCCAACGTCGTTTCCTGAAATAATGTGACAGTCATCAGATCATCTTTTTTTAATATCAGTAACCAGAAAATTATTCATACTTAAAGCTCAGAAGCCTTAACAATACAGCTTAACTCTGTTTAAACCGGTTAGCCCATCCTACTCATATCAGGAACAACTAAATGTGCCTATCTCAATAAAAGCAGCTAATCTTAGGAATGACACTTAACATTATGCATTCAATTTACCACTTTTAAAATACCGATGTACCAGTGCCTGAAAGAAACAGAGAACAGACATCAGCTTAAAGCTCTTATAGCTGTCTTTTAAGAGGGAACCTACCAAGCTTAAAGCATCATGTCTCACTTACCAGTGGAGTTTCTGCAGGCCAAATTCAGCTTAAAATTCCACTTGTGCAACCACATTACCTTCATAGGGCCAGGTATACTTACATCAACCCCTACTTAACCTTATCAAAACTACAGATTAATAAACCAGCTCATACAGATTATTTATCTCCACAGGATAAACCAGTTTGTAAAAATCTATCATAGATGATTCCAGAAGTTTGTACAGCATTGTTTTTCAATCAAGTTAGTGGCACTTCTTGACTGCCCCTCTTGAAGCATGAGTGACATTTATAGCAGAACGCCTTCCAAATCCAGTGCCATGCGTGAGGAACTGCAGAGTTAAGAACATGCTAAAGCTTCTGTATCAGTGACAATGTACAAGCATTGGTCTCCCATTTGACACCTAGAAAGAGCTTGCCATTACTAGCCAGAAGAAACATTTGGGGGTTTTTTTGTAGATATATTTGGCACCAGACACCAAAGGTTCACTGTCACCACTCAATTTAATACAAAGAAAACTTCCTTCAAATTGCATGTCTAAAATACAGACTAGAACTTGAGTGGGTAGAAAGCTGCTTACAGTAAAAGGTTCCCTCCTTCAGAATGATGCTTGAAATGCTGTGAGAACACTGGAAAGGGATGAACCACCGAACATGTTTATTTTAAGCTTGAAAATCAGATCAGGGCCCATGAACAGGTTTTAATTAAAAATCTGCTTTGAAAATTGATGGTGAAGGACAAAATCTATCCTTTGGAGGACTGAATCCAGTGAGGCTGAATTTGACTTTAGAGAAACCCTTCACTCGAAGTATTTTGTCCAGCAAGCCATTATAAACAAACATGCTGAGGTCCCACCATCCAGGAAAAAAAAAAAACAGCCTTGGCTTTACTACTTGACAACACATTTTAGTCCTTCAAGATTCTCCAACTATAATGCCACTTAACAGAAAAGCATAATCAATGAAAACAGACTGGGAACACAACAGCATTTTGGGAACACAGAATTTCTTCAGTAATTTATATGGTCAAATAAAAACTGATCAAGAAATACTTCCTGTTTACTCAGTTACTTCAGTATCTTGTTCTGAAAGCACCGCTGCAGTATCCAGCAGCTACTAGGCTCAAAATTACAGAAGCCTCTCTAAATGGCATATTTGCAATTGGACTCTATCCTGAAGTAGAAGCAGAGACCAATGTGGGTCTGGGACAGCGAATCTAGGAAGAAACACATTGTAGTTAAGTCCAGAGCTGCACTACAAAGTAACAGAGGACTTCACAAAGGACTTAGTCCAAAGGCAGCTGAACAGAGACCAAGGTATTTCAGTGGTCAAGAAAACAGAACACAAAAATGCTAATTCTACTAGAAAAACAATGATTAATTCAGTACAGGTTTTCCAGGGGCAGGACGCATTGTTGCATCCTGCAACAATGCCACCTTCCACATAATGACATGCTAAACATATATACAAAAGAATGAAATTGAGAAGCAGTACAGAAATGGAATATATACATGTGGCTAAATACACACAACTGCACCTACCACTAAATTCGAGTTCCATCTGCGGTTGGACTTTATGATCTTAAGGGTCTTTTCCAACCTAAATGATTCTATAAATTCACATAACAGGAATTAAGAATACACACACAAACGAATTTTATTAGTTTAGTCCAATCTGATGCTACGGCTGCTACATTTGACATGCATCCTGCATGTAGTTACACCAAAATGAAGACACTGCTGCTACAAACTGCTGGTTACTCCCTTCATCAGCTGTTGCCACCTCCACTGTTGTGCCAGCAAAAGAAATCATAAGCCTTCCCTAATCCACTTAGGGCAAACTCCGGCAGTTCAGTTTAAACCAAAGTTGTGTATGAGTCTTGACTGAAGCAGATTTGAGAACAGAGGCAGGATAGCTCATGCCATAGCACACTTAGGTTCCTGGATTGCCTCATTCTGCACCTGTAACTAGTCCATAAAAATGTCTGAATAAATACATCTTATTCAATTGTACAGTCTGCAGAGCTTCTGACTTGCGCTGCAGCTGAAAAGCACGTATGGAAGCCAAAGCTACTACGCGAGCTACTGTGAACTGTACCAGCCAAGTCTGTATAGAGGTGGCCCTACCCAATCCAGAAAGCAACATATTAAAGAAGCCAGAAGATCACATATTTGCATTTGCTGTCCTGAAAAGATTTTCTTCTGAGAGATCGTTCTCATTAGCAGATCACGTCTTACATACCTGAGCATCATTCGTCACAATCTACAGACTGATCAGTTAAAGCACATAATCCAAATGCTCTCATTCTTTTAAAAAATTATACAGACTTCAATCCTCAGATGTACATTAGTAGATAACAATGGTGTATGATTTCATGTATAATTCAATCCTCATTCTTTCTTACAAACCCTTCATCCCTAAGGAGCATGTCTAAGATTTCCATCGCTCACTATCAGTATTACCACTCCATCAGGTAGCCTTCCATTACCTGAAGCAGTTTTAAGAACATGGCCTGGAAAGGTAAAGATAAGACCATGAGCTAGGACTGAAGCAGATCCATTTATGTTAAGCTATTATCTAGTAAGTACCTTTTTGCAACACTCAGCATTAAAGGGGTTCTTTCAGATGCTAACTTCAAGGTATTTGTGTATTTTTATAAATGCATGTATTTTATATACACACACATCTATTTGCAGGATCTAATGCAATACTGAAAAGCTGCAATGAATAACTTTGGGCAGCCACTAAGGCTAGAACAGATAATCCCAATAGTTGTTGCCAATCTCAAATCTAATTACTTCCTGTATTTGTGACCTATCAAGATGAAGAAGGAAGCAACATGAAGCATAATTACTCCTGCAAGTTGAAGAGCCTCTTTTCAAAGAAAATGCATTGAATTTAGGATTTAGAACTTTTGTTAGTGCCCATAGCAATTCAGGATCAAGAACAACCTTTCTCATGAAGGGAGCAGCACAGGTTCAACTCCAAGTCTTAAACTGCAATTTAGCAAGTCTTGCCACTGCCAATCTGAATCAAGATCAAAATCATTCTTGTTCTGAGCATCAGAAATGACTGAATGACCTTGATAATCACCTGATTCACAAAGGCATAAAATAATTAGCTTCCCTAACAATCTACTGAGTAAATGCCAAGTTTGTTTTACAACCACGGATTAAAGACTTGTCACCTGCAACGGGAGTCATGTCTTCCAAGACAGGATACTGCTAGACCAACTCGGCACAAACCTCTTCTAGGATGATGTCATCTACCCTGCTCCAGCATGTTCCTGTGAACAGACTTCTGAGTGCCTAGCTTTGCAGTTCTCCTAAATGAATGCTTTCACTTTTTACACATCAAAGAAAAGACAACTGCTTTGAGAAACTGAAATGGTGGCAGCTACAAGATGTTTATAGAAACTCCCTTCTTCGGATGATGCCAAAGGAAAGATTTTCATCTCGTTACCCTGTCCTAGGACACTAACTGAAGATGAACAATCTTAGGCTACGTATGAAGATCAAGTATAAACTACCACTTTAAAATGTATCACCAGCTAGATTAGTCTGACATCTCAAATCCAGATTTCAACACACTTCCCACTTCAGCTGTAGACTCCTGACATCTTTGTTGGAATCTTGGTTCTCAAATCAGAAATTATAATCCTCTAGCACCCAATAATCAGGCTTTGAGAATTTCAGAGGAAACCCCACAGCACCCAGCAGAATCTGAGCAAAACCCACTACGACCAAAACAGCAACACAACAGGTTAATGCCTATTCCTTCCAAATCTAGGAACTAACAGAAGGTACGGAGCAGGTAGAACTGAAGTATCATATCCTTCTGATGACATTATTTATCTGTTAGCCTGACATAACCATTTCACACTGAAGGAAAAACAGTTCCTCCAACTTAAAAGAACTAATCCCACTGAACTTAGTCCTGTCCCCTACAAGACTGTCTAAAGGTGTTCTTATGAGTTATACCTTTCAGCACCCTACTGCTGAACTAGTGGATACACTCATAGGAGGGACTTTTACACTACTTGGATAATCTTGAGAAACTGAAAGGCTTTTTTTCATCCCTGTATTTTTTGTCTGATTTCTGGATTAAGAAATCATCTTTCAAAGTCTTCTTCCAAGGCTTAACCAGAACTTTAGAGAAAGCTGTGATCAGGCTAAAAAAGGATCACAAATAAAAAAGATTAAAAACTTATGCATACAGTGCAAAAACAGGTTTGAGAGAAAAACTCTACAGCAGCTTATGCTAACTTAAGAAGTGTGTGTCCATTCTTTACCGAAATACTTGTTCCCATCTCCTCCACAGTACTGGCACTGACCCTCATGGAGTTAGACAGTGAGTGGATCTGACCATAAACTAATCAAGCAGAGATGATGACTTGTCAACTGGACAAAGACCTGAACCCTTGGAAAAGTTTTTTGTACTGGGACACAAGCAGTAACAGAACTAAACTTATTAACAGAATTCTAGACATTATCTACATACACTTGACAGGTACTTTTAGATACTGTAGGAATATGTGATTCAGTCTAGATCTAAGGAGGCTGTATTCATGAGATCCGATTCAGAGAGCCACCCTATACGTTCTATATAATTTTCCTCCTAGTTCCATCAGACAAGTTCTGAAGCTCTGTGGTAGCTGCCAGAAAATATCCCTATGGGACATAGTGGTCAGATAACTTCAAATTATTGTCAGCTTTCATTTCCCTTGCCAAAACACTTTCTCTCCTGTAAGAATTACATTATCTCACCCCTATATAACCTCATCTAAAATTTAATTCTTATCAACTCTTTGATAGCATATAACTAGATACCTTTCTTCTAACCTATAGTTCTTTGCTTCTGCAAGATTTATGCTAGGACAAACAATTCAGAACCCCTGCTGGATTTGCAAGGTTTTTTTTCTTCTCTGAAGAGTCACTGAAGAGAAGAAAAAATTCCAAAGCACTATTAGCAGTGATTAAAACATTGTGCAGCATACATAATTTCTTCTCTTTCAGTCCTCAGCAGATAGGAAGGAACAGAACTGGAGGACAGTAAAGATTTTTGACTCTAGAGAAATGTGGCTCATGCTGCTACTCAAATGGGTCTTCAGGCAAGTAAGTACACAGCTACTGAAGGAAATCTCAATAACCTAATGAAAGTTCTGCAAAATCACACCTATGCCTGGCCAAGTGCAAGAATCATGATGGACACAAACTCAGAGCTACAAACATTATCAGAGATGTGGTTAGACAAATGAGTATCTTAGCTTGCAACCTGTTCTAGAGAAATATGAACATTCAGCATATGCGTATTTAGAAAGGTGCCAGACTTCAGCTCCTGATCCATGGTATTTGCTTTAAAAGTGCTGTATATAAGCAGTCTACCCACAAGATGTGACAGTATGGAGTTTGAGTGCCAATTACATTCTAGAAATACTAACGCTGAAGTCCAAATTAACTGAAAATTGTCTTTGTTAAAAAGCTGGTTTGGAATTTCAGCTACTTGTGACAGTCTAAATAGAATCCAAACTGAATACTATAGAGCTGGAAATTTTTTTCAGGAGCTCAGCCAAAATTAATCTTGATTACTTTGAAGGTTACTGAATCAAAATCAAATCTTAAAGAAAAAAAAATATTTTAAGTTAGTTACTTTCAAAAGTACATGCAACTATAACTGGCATTCTCTAAAGGTCCCTGTGCAGTACAGAAGCCAGTTATGCAAACCACTCTTCACACCAACACCATAATACGGCTGCTCCCTTGCTACACATTCATGGATATACACCCATGTTTCTGTGCAGTCTCTGCTGCACCGCCCTGCAGGACAGATACCTCATCTGGGGCGTTTCTTTCCCATATGGTATAATTTATCCGAAGTATGGCACCACAGACTGTGGCAGGAAAGCTACACCTTCCATTCTCATTCTCTCATAATGAACAATGGAGAGCTGTTCCTACTAACAAACCCCCTTCCAGGATTTCCTGGACCTCTTTCTTTCACTACCCTCCACACTGTTAGAGAATCTTATTATACACTCAACAGTTCTGAATCTCCAATGCATTATGTACATGCACTGTTTGCGTGCAATCCAATTTACTCAGGCTATGAATCTTGAAATACTTCAGGTCCTTATCCCTTGCCCATCACCATAACTGTAGCTCGACACCAGCAACAGCCTCTTCTCAGTGCAGCTTCTTAACTCATTTGACAGACTTTAGGGACTCTAACATAAGCTGTGAGAGCACAAGTTGAGCCAGAGCTCCAGAATATTGCAAGAAGTGTACAATCTTACCAGGCAGGAGAGGATCTTCAATACATAGCATGGATGGTCTGTATCCATTAGTCATGACTTTCATGATTTCTTCTTTGGCAATATAGGCACCTCCATTTTTTATTCTAATACCAGTTTTCAAGTAGTTAAAATTCCTTCCATAGAGTTCAAAAAATTCTATCAGAAGCATTCCAAGGTTTTCATCAGCTCTTCTGGCATCAATTCTTGGATGCAGCTGTGACACAGAACAGTTGTTAATTATTAAAAACTAATGCTTTTCAGACCGTAACAGTGCAACAAAAAGCTCTCATTTAAACAGCTGAGTATAATCTCTTTACACAAGTCCGAACTGAGTCATTAATTCTTCATGTACTTAAACTACTTTCACATAACCAAGAGGGGGCAGCACTGGAAGCCAAAGAATTCTTTCTTCCTTCCTCTTCCAGCTTTTTGAGGATTAGTAAATTCTTTTCCCTAAGCCAAAAGCAATAAAGAAGTACTGCATACTACATTACGGCTTAGTTAGTAACAGAGTAATACCTGATCTTTCACATAAAATCCATTGGTCTTAATGTTTTCAGAAGCAGAGAGGGAATCTATTTACCCCCACTGAAATACAGTTCTTTTCTCAATCTCCCCATATTATATAAAGTATGTAAAATCTATAGTAACATTTCAATTAATCATTAACAGCAGCAGAATTTGTAGGTTTTTCCATTATCACAGCTGCTGAAAGACGCTAACATTGTACCTAGTCATACTCGTACAAAGCTCACTGTCACAAAAATGTATTGGAAGAAGTTATAACTCATTAGCTAATTCATCAGTTACCTACAATATCTGCCAGTTTTAAGTATGTCAAAACCTAACCAACAAATAACTAAAAAACTTGATTCTTTGATTTCATCATTTAAAAAAAAAAACCACTGAAATCGGCTACTCTGCACATTCAGTACCAGTAGTCTAGGAAGCAACAGACTTAAACTGCATCCTGGCAGATTTACAAAACGTCAGTAAGATGAATCAGGTACTGGAATAGGCTGCCCAGGAAGGTAGCATAATCCACATCACAGGCCCTGGTATAGAAAGCAATGCACAGCCTCTATGCCGTTCACAAGGCTCCTGCTGCTGTTTCAATTCACACAGTGAACAGAAGTTCTTAGAGGTTTGAGAGGTAGTCCATAGGAGCTGCCAATGATCAAACAGCTAGAGCCATAACAGTAAAGCTGTGCATTGCTAGGGGAGTCTAAAGAAACAGCACCATAACAGGGCATAAGTACAGAAACTGAAATATTTTAAAGAACACAGAAACAAACACGGAACAGACTTACCTGCAGGAAACTAATTGCCATTAAAATTAGGCTGTAAGAGCTAATTCCACCAGTAAAAACTTCATTCAAGTCCCTCTGAAGGAGGAACTGTTTTAATACTAAAATCAAGTAAGGCAGCAAAGAATATTTCTGCAAAGCAAAATAAGTCTTATCAATGACAATTTCAACATTCCAAAACAAAGAACGAACTACACAATCTGAACACAAGAAGATTCATCTTCTAATACAAAAATGTTATTCAGTACTGTACTATAAAGTATTTCCACAGGAAGAACTGAGACATGCATTTCTTTTTTATTCTAGAAACAGATGAATAGACTTCAACTCTTTTTTGATCAAACAGCTTACATATCAAATTTATTTCCCCCCCCTAAACAGGAAGATTTTTATATCCTTCTTTGAATGCCAGTGTCACTCATAGTCAAAGCTTTCCATCTAAACCGTACTTTTACTGCAGAACATAAAAGTAAACTTGATTTTAAGTGCATAGCTACAGAAGAATTGTTTTTAGACATTGTTTGGCAAGATAGTACTCATAATCAAGCATCCCTTAAATTTAAGGTAAGCAAAATTTGAACAGACTTGCTTTAGAAGCAAAGTTTAGTACCTATCTGCAGATCTAGATATGATTGTAGAAGTCCTTTCAGTGTACAGGTTTATCCACACAAAACACCTAGCACTCAAAGGCAACAATGAATAGATACCAGTAGAAAATAAATTAAAATATCCATGTTTAATTAGTATTAATGAAAACAGTCTTCAGCAATAAATCTTCAAAAGTCTTAAGCCATACCAAAAAAGGTTAGCTAAGCATCTAGCACGTCCTTGGTAAGTAGTGTAACATTCATTATATGGTTGATACCTTCATGTATTCCTTGATAAACCGAGCTGCCTTCACACCAGTTTCTACATTAAAACTGATGTCAACTTTCACTTCTGTCTCCTGGTCAGTAAGTTTTATTATTGGTACCTGAAAAGATTAAAACAAGGTTTTATGAATCTCCAGAAATGCAACACTGGTGCTATTCTCCAGCTTACTCACTTAAGACACATGGATACTATCAGTCCAAATGAATGCAACTATCAAGACAAGGAAATGTGTTTTTGAGAAAAAACAATAGTCCTAACTTGACTGACAAGCAAACACTTTTTAGTGAGGTGATTAAAAACACAGGCATGTATGATCACATTGACTTATGATCACTGATGTACTCTCCCATAGCTATTAGATAATTGCCTTCATAGCTGCAATATTTGTGTTTTGTAAGACAACTAAATTTACTTAATTTAATGACTCACTGCTGTTAACAGGAGACATTCTACTCTCATAACCTGTGGGAACTGCATTCATCTGACCCAGCACAGCACCATTCACTTGCTAAACCAACAGAAGACTAGCCTAGCAGAAAAAAAAACAGAGCACTGTCTGTTGGTTTATCAAGCTGAACTGGTTCACTGCAGAGTCAAACGAAAGCCAGAATGGATAAAAGCAAAGCAGGAGTAGCAATACTTCCTCTTCTGGCAGCAATAAATTATTACAGAACTACTGAATATGTAGTTCAGTCTCACACCACCACCTTGAAGGCAGTATCCTACAAAAACGTCTTACAATCATAACTTAAACTTCAGCTGATAACATTTATTTTAAATTGAACTGCTTGTATTTTTAATCTGAAATGGAAAAGAAAAAAGAGCAGAAGTATAGCATCATTTTATACCAACAGCAGAGGGAATAAAATAAGAAAGGCTAGTAAAATTGATAAGCCTAGCGCCATTTTCCATCACTAACTGGTATCACCGATTCTGAAAATCCCACTCATTCTCAGGTAAACCAAAGATTACCAGAGCTACTGTTATGTACTGCTACTCCAACAGAAGCCACAGGAATCTTCTGGACCTAAAAGTCACCCTATTTCAGAGACCACAAAAACGTAACAGCTTGCTAATAGAAGCTTGGAATACTCTACTTAGTCTCCTGGAGAAAACACCACTTGCTCAGTAACATAAAATTCTCATACTTTAAGCTTTTAGCATATTCAGTGTGATCCATTAGGCTTACAAGACAGATGCAAGAGATACTACACATCAGTTTCACAAGTGAAATAAAGCTCTTAAGTAGCATATTTTGGAAGGGAAAAAACAAATGTTAGGTTTGGAACACTTCACTATGCCACTAGAAACAAGACAACCTGAAAAATCAGGGTTTCAAGCTAGACAGGTCTAGTTACTGACCCCTGGCTAAACAAAGTCCTCTCAAAGGTCAGTGGAAAAACTTCATAGAAATAGTTAACTTATTTTACTAGATATTTTGCAAATACTGACTTTCAGATCTTTATTGACAACGTAAGCATAAAATATGGCCTTACAGCAAATACAGTACACAGAATTACCATTGTCCGTGTAAAAAACTGTGTGCTATTGCTAAGCACAGACAGATTCTACTAAAATCTTGCATAGACAGGGCAAAACATTGTGCTTAAGACAGTCTTATTTGCTTCATGAATTAAGAACACTATTTATCACCAACATCTTAAGGGGTCTGAAAGCTTTTCCGATCAGTATTCCAAAGACTATTACTTACCGTAGCTTTATCAAGTACTTTAATGGAATATGGCTCAGCCACATTGTGTTTTCTTAGTGCTTGCTCCAGCAGCTGTAAAGGGGGCCGTTCCCATTTCCCAAAAACAACTAGATCGATATCACTAGACAAAAAGAACACAGCATGTCATCCATTAAGTCTAAAGCCTAACACTCCTCCAAAAAAAATGGTAAAATTGACATTCTACATATTACAAGTCCTCCAGGGTGACCATTTTGCAACTTTTAATCTAGGTTCCCAATAAGCTTTCTTTAGCAATGTTAAGAGATGGTCTAGTATGCTTTAGGACCCAAAGTAGTACTGTAGTTTCTTGCTTCCAGTTCTCTGATGAGTTCTTTGAGCTCTTCTCTCTTTTACCTTTCTTGCCCCCTCCCCTCTGACTTCCACAGCCCAATCCCATCCCTCATCTACCCATGTCGACAGGCATGTTAACAGTCCAAACAATTTTTATCAGTGATTGTTATTCATACAAAAGAAATTTCCAATGCCTTCCTACTGAAAATTTAATTGATGTAAAGACGACATAGTCTTTAAGACAAAGCTACAGAGGTTTTCCACATCCATCTATTGAACATTAAGCAATATAAAACGCTGAACTGAATAAGACATTTTGCTCTCAAAAAAAATGGGAAAACACAGCTGTGACAACTCCTCTGACTTTGCACAGTAACTCTGTGATAAATGACACACTCAGTAATTCACCTTATTTAACAAAATACAATCTTTACACAGGAAATGTTAAACATTCAATTTCACTGTATCTTGAAAACAAAGAGCCAAAGACTAACCCCAGACACAAGGAAGAAAAGGTAACTCAAAGGGTCAGTAAGTACCTAGAGCAATACAATGATATATCAAATACTTATCTCAAATCTGCAAGTTCAAAAGCTCTTCCCTTTGTCACATGGGACATTAGGCAACACTTTAACTGGAAGTTTGATAGGTTTACACATTCCAGTCTAAATTCTGCTTTGAAATTTACCATTACTCTAGAAGAAGACAAGCTTTATATAAAAGTAAATTATTACTTACCTAGTTGGAAGATAAAGCCCTGTACTAAAGCTGCCAAATATCTGGACCTGAAAAAAAAAAAAATCACACCAGTGAAGTATCTTGTAATTATGAATGCTCACTTCATTTTATTTCACAAGACTTAAGATTTTTCTGGACCTGTTGAGGATATAGCCCAGTAAAAAAGTTATTTCACTTACTTTACTACATACTCTGTTAAGCCCATACAAATACACTTTCTCTTATAGATGCAACTTTAGAGGAAATTGTTTGGGTTTTTTTTAACATGAAATGACTACCAATCCTGCTAGCAGCAGAGCACAAACTTTTGAAACAAGTCCTTTTCACTATTTATTTCCAGTTCGATAGAAGTATAAGCTGTTATAAATTTCCTTCCTCCCTGCTCCCTTTGTTCCTTATAGGACAGCTTTACTGAAATTGGGAGAGTTTAACGGAAACATTTTTCCAAATGTTTAGGTTTAAAAAACAGCAAGTGCATCTAAGCATACAATTCAGATAAACATGAATACTCCAGATTTTACTGTAAGGATGACTATGAAATTGTGGTAGGTGTTTGTGTGTATAAAAGAAGGCATGCTGAACAGACGTTCTCAGTCCACATTAAATACTTTTAGTATGCTTCCAATCTAGAGAATTGAGACATTCTTTTCCCTCTGCTACAGCAGAGTACAATTTACAAGTTCACTTCTTTGAAGTGACCTATGAAAAGGCTGGGCAACATTGGGCCATTTCAGTGTTTATATCTGTTCCCACAAGCTAGAAAAATGTCATTACTAAGGAAAATCATAGGTGAGGATGAAGTAGATGGGCTTTACAGTATCTTTAGCTCAGTACTGTGGCCACAGCCCTCACTCTTCATCATGGAAGGCTATGAAATCACAGTGGTCTGAAATGTTTTTCTGCTTGTTAAATGACAACACTACTATCTGGTAATCAGAAAGGTGATGCTAGAGATAGTTTACATCACACTCCTTTGGGATGTTTTTTGTTTGGAGGAAACTTACTCTTCGGGTAATAAAGAGTTTGAAAATACAACAACTTTGGTTGCAAGATCTCAGGAAGTCAAGTCCAATTTTCCCACTAAAGCAGGGCTAAAGTAATTCCCTGAATATCAAATTTGTGAAGAGTACAAAAAAATCTGGGGTTTTTAACTGTTCTTTTGTAAAATTTTTGTATTTACAAGTATCCACAGAGTGAGGACTCCTTGCAGAAATGGATACATAGGTAGTCAGTCTCACTTTAATATTCAAAATTAAGTTATGCAGAGACAATCAACTTAATAAGCTTTTACTTCAAGAAATTCACTTCTTGAAGTGGACAGTTCTTCACATCCCCAGTTCTCAAAATGAAAAAAATTATCAGTAGCCTTCATTAACCTGAAGTCTAGGTTTTACATTTCCTCCACTTTTTCAAATAAACTGCCACATACTGCAAGAGCTGTGATATTAAGTCAATTGCCTTAAGTTTGAAGTCTTATCTCTTCATTTCTAAAACACAGAAAGATAATAGCAAGGTTAAGTGAACCAAGCTCTACAATTTACTGGAGAGACAAATCAACACTTAAATTACACTCACATCAGCTGTAGGCCAAAGATCTTTGATGACTGTTTCTATTCTTTTCACCACTTCTCTTCTCATAGCTGCTTCTTCAGGACGAGGGGACATGAAGTCATAGAAGTCAATTATTTCTTCATGTAGCCTAAAAGAGAGAGTAGCATCAGTTATAATGACGATTTAACTATTACAATAAATTTCAACAAAAACAGGGCATAGGCTTTATTTAATGTCATCTAACCAAAACCAGCAGTACTTTCAAGAAAGGTGAATGCCACAAGTTAGGCTTTCATATGGGAAACTGGAGGGTTTGGAATCTGGGATTTGGGACACATATATTCACACTTGATTTTCACGGCAGCACCTCAGTAATCTCAACAATACCTACACATCAGCCCTCATCACATTACCTAAATGCTGAAGATGTTAAAAGACACAGGACACAAACACTAGTAGACATTTACTAACCTTCTTACTGGCTCAACAGTGAAGGTCAAATTCAATTCCTGATTCCCAAAGATTATTTTCTTTAAAAAACAAAGCATGGTCTTAAAAACTACACAATGATCCAAATGTGAAACAGCACAAGAACGATTAAAATCTTCAAGTCGGTTTATTCTTCCAGGGGTTCTTACTTCTGTGTATGTGGAAGTTTACACAGACTTGGAAACAGGCCACTGGCATTAATGAGTTTTTGTAGAGGGCGATAAAAGGGACATTTGAGTATTCCTTGATGTGAAAATGTCCACTTTGACAAACGGAGATTCCTTTGACCTCTCAAGCCCTTTATTAGCCATTCATTCATATAGGAAGTGACCTTCCAACTGAACTACTCAAAGTGAGAAGTGTTAAATATATTCTTACCAGTGTTACATGAGGAGTTCTGACACTGGATCTTTATACACCTGTTAAGTCCTTTTGTTTCCCATCTCCTGATACTATAGAACACTCGCTGCCAAATTTGAAAGAAGATCAATTTGAGTTTTCAGGTGAATGTTGTGTTTGCTTTCAATGGAAAAAACATCAAGCCATGCCAAACAAAAACAAAAAAATGCAAATAACTACTGCTGGGATATTTTACAAAAATATTTTTGATGTTGACATATTTCTAAGGTTTTACTCTAATTCAAGAAACTTATCAATTCAACACTGTAGTGAAATTCAAATACTGTCCTAAAAAAAAAATCAGGTTCAATCCTTAGTTAACATACTTAGCTTTCCAAAAGGAAAATTTTATAGATCTCTAGTAGAACTCAACTCCTCCCCTGAGACTTTTGCAACTCATTTTACTAGAGAATTCCCACTCTAACAGATAGCCTCCAACAGACCATATGCCCGATTTTTAAGTGTCAGGATTCCTTTCCATACACAAAGAGATTTTAGCAGCAAAGCACAAAGATACTTCTAAAAAGCATACATATTTAGAATTAGTTTGCCCTTTCTCTTACCTTAAACTGGCCCTGGATCCACAATTGAACATTTAACTTACATAACATTTAACACAGCAGACTTAACTAAACCTTTCAATTCTGAACATTTAACTACACAGCAGACTTAACTAAACCTTTCAATTTGTTGATGAATCTACTTGATTTCAAAACTTCAGAGCATGACACAAAATACAAACTAGCATGCTCCTATTTTATTTTGTTTCTAGAAAGTATGCTTTTTCCCCCCCTTTCCAAGATGACAAGACCAATGAAGAAAATACTTGAATACACCTAACAGCAGTGGGGCCAAACTAAAGACTTCCCATTGTCCTGCTTATAAAAATCAGCAGTAGGCAGATAAAGGGTGAAAGCAAGAAAAGACAAAGCAGTCATCCAACTCCCTTGCAGCAATCCTTCCAAGCCTCCAGTAATTTCATTTGGCATACTTTTGGGGTCGATCCCAACCATAATGTGTATTAGCTCAAAGGACTTTTCTTCTACCGATTTTTCCAGGTCTTTTTAGTCCATTTATGCTTTTGTCATTCATAGCATTCTATGAGAATTTAAGTATGCATCAGAATAAAGAAGTGCTTTATTTTAAACTGCTGCCTGTTAATAATGTTATCTGATGCTCTTTCTTGGGGGAAAAAAGTTATTACTGGCAGTTCATCTCCAAACATAACACTTCTCAGGCTCTCAATTCATATCCACTTGTCTCTATCCACCAGCTCTTTTTCAAGCTAGCAATCCATCTGTTTTTCTCTCCTCACACAGGAGCAGGTCCAAAGTTTGATCACTGCTAACCTTCTTCAGCTTGTTTTCAGTTGCACCATGTTTTCTGACAGGTGGCCAGAAACACACACAGAGTCAACACATAATTACACCATTCAGTCCATGACACACACCTGTTTTCATTTTATTGTCCACATCTTTGCAAAAATTGCTGCTAACTGCTATTTGAGGATATCTGAGCATACAGCTGCTCTTTAAAGGAAGCCATTATGAAGGAGCTTCAAGGTGTTTTCTGAACAATAACCACCAAACAAAGCCCACCCACTGGGTATATTCAGCCTGAATTATTTTTCTTCAGATTATTCCATATTTACTAGAATTTAATTTTATCAGCAATTTTATAACCTAATGAACAATGAACTCCCACTGTGACTGTCTGCAGTCAGCTCTAGCTTTCTATTATCCTTTTTATCCTTTTCTCATTCATTTCTTCCCTCCAGGTATTTATGAATATATCAAACAACCGTCTTGAGTAATTCCACTGGTAACCTTCCCCTATTATAAAGTAAATAATTTATTCTTTCCTTTGGTTACTTCTAAGCAGTTAACCCATAAGCCCAGCAAACCTGTGACTGTTCAGTTTTTACAAAGTCTTCAAAAAATCTCAGAAACATTCTTCTGAAAAAATCCAACAGTTCTGTATTATCAGACTGACCACGTGCATAAGGATTAACAATGAATCCTTCAAGGAAATGAGACCTGCGAGACAACTACCTTTATCAAAGCATGCACTAGCCCCTTTCTTTATATTTAGTCAACACAAATAAGTCCTGTTTTGTTATAGAATATTCCCCATCCAACCACTCCAGGAGATCCAGGCATTCCTCAAAAACATGCGTTTACAGTAGCCATCCCATATTAGGGAAGGAGGAGAATAAAAGGGGTCTCTCATTCCCCTACACACTGCAGCCTCTCTACCATACACAGCATAGTCTTTCAAAAGCAGCCCCTAATGTGTCAGCAAGGTCGGAAAAACAGCAAGCACACTCTCACTTCAATGCCCCACTGAGCTTCTGTTCAGATGGTTAACGCTGTTGCAATTCTTAATCATATCATGAAAGACTTGAAAGAATACCACCCATCACTAGTCTACATTTCCTTCCCTGATCTACTTTTTAAGAAGTCAGCTTCATATTTTCTACCTTGCACGGGCAAGGCAGCACTTCATTTAATGCTTCAGTTTGCATGGGACAACAGCACAAGAGCTAGATAATCAAAACTCATTTAAAGTTCAAACCATACGCCATGGTTTCATGGTTAAGTTCCTCTGGAATTCTCCAGCATATACCACCAGACATGGCTATACAACAGTTACTCTGCTGATGTATTTAAACACTCCTTACTGAAATTTAAAGTTACAGTTGCCTGGAGTCAAAGAAAGTTCTGGTGAGAAGTCTCTTGAGCCCTTCTCTGACAAAAAGCAATGCAATTAGTTCACTTAGTTTTTACTACATGATCTGATATCTCCTGGGTGCCCTTTCATGTCTCTCTATGAGCCCTAGTGACTCCGGCAAGTTTCTTGCTTTCAATGTGCAATGTTTTCAGATTTTAATGCACTTAGCAAACCAGTGCTCAATCCCTCTGTCTTAACAGACTTCTATTTTGTTTGCTCTTTCCAGTCTTCCTTAATTCAACAGCTGCTACTTCTCAGAGAACATCTTCCTGGTCTACATCCTTCTGGATAAGCATCAATGCTATCTTCACTGTCAGCATATGACAACACAACCATCTTAATACAGCATTTTCAAGCATTTTACCCTTTTGGCTTCCTCCTGAAGAAACTTCTCAAAACTGAGATGCTTTTTTAAAATTTAATGTTACTGTAGTTTACATTTTTCTAAACATCTTTGCTCAGACAAGGTTATTGGAACACAGTCACAAAAGCAGCTCTGATATACATAAAACAAGATGCTGTATGCTGCTCAGGACTAATCTCGGAGTAACTTCTCTGCTAGCTGAAGGAATAATTTGGTGTCTGAAAAAACAAATCACCACAGGATGTTTACCCAGCCAATACAGGGATAGTTTTCAGTTAAGCTTTTTGCCCATGTAGCCTCTATGATCTTCATAAGCACTTGTTACTTCTTAAGTCAGGACTATGACAGTATCTTAATCATTAGGAACAGAATTTCAATTTGCCACACATGACATACATGCAGATATAAGTAACACCTTAGCTCTTTTTTTAAAAAAATATAACTTCCTTCAACATATAGCACAAGTCCATTTTCTCGATCTCCTGGCTTCATAAAGAATTTGGGCTCCAACAGCATCCCAGCACCTAGCTATCTTCTATCACATTTTAAGATGCCTATTACACTACTTTCTTAGCAAAGATAGGCATTTTAATTGACTTTTTCACATGGCAGTTTCACTGGGAACAAAACTTGTTGGCAAGACATAACTGTATTCTTAATGCAAGGTGGAAAAGATTAGAACGCAGGGATGCAGAAGAGAGGCTGCTTGTACTCACTACACTATTCAGCTTGCTAATTTTAACAGCCTGGAGGAACCTACCAGTTACTAATGCTATTACTGCTAAGCACAGTAAACATCTGTTGCTTACAGGCTGAACTATACAACAGAATTGACACCATTTGTTTACCAAAAATTTATCCCTTTTACTGTTTTAGGAACGGCAGACACACTTTTAGTCTTCAGGTTAAAATAATACTCAGGAGACATTCTCAGACTTTTGCTATGCTTTTCCTTAAAGGCAGGTTTCTAAGGAAGGAGGTCATTTACTTCACTCATCATTTACTGTATCTACAACTATTATTATATATAACATTGACTTGTTACTTCAAGGGCTAACTTCAATGCGGTGAAATGAAACTCTCAAACAGCATCAACAAACTAGAAGGTGAATGAAAAGCTACAGAGACTTTGTTCCCCAAGTAAGCATCCTGTTTCTTTTCAATAT